ATCGCCTCTCGTGGGTATAGTTGCATATATAATAAATGTCAGCAAGTACTTCGAGTATAGATAATTAGTCATAACTGGACTGGTCAACTACTGGTTTGCCTATTCATTCAATATTCATAAATAAGAAAAGTCAAAACAATTACTGAATGTCCTAAGTGTGATAGATTGTAATTAAAATAAAAACAATAAAAATTGTGATCTTTAAACATTATAAATATTACTACGAAACTCAAAGTAATGTTAATAAAATTTGTACTCTTGTGTAAATCTCTATAATGATAATTTTTATTTGCCATATAGAGTCTTTTAATTTTTTTTGTGAATCTTCAAAACCATTCTTCATTCCGCCAATACATCGAAATAACTGGACCTGCCTTTTCCAAAAACTTAGTAGCACGTCTCCCCATCAGTAGGAATCTAATTTGAATCATTCAAATCGTTTGATCCGTTCTCTCGAAATCGTTTACCCATATCGAACATTTTTATTATTTATTAATTTTAATTATTTATGTCAATTGCTCCATACTTTCGGATATTTTTTTGATCTATATAAGTGATCTTTGGGCCAGCGGTGGCGATATAGGTTAGAACGTGGGCTAGCACCAACTAGTCCCGGGTTCACTGGTTCGATTTTCGCTACCGCCAAACCTGACATCAGGCAACTTTGATGTCAAATTTCCACTTGAGGTTATAGATCTCAAATATAGCCTCAAGTGAAAATCGCCTTTCGTGGGTATAGTTGCATATATAATAAAAATGTCAGCAAATACTTCGAGTATAGATATAGTCGTAACTGGACTGGACAACTACTGGGTTGCCATCCATTCAAGATTTATATAATAAGAAAAGTCAAAACAATTACTTAATGTCCTAAGTGTGACAGATTGTAATTAAAATAAAAACAATAAAAAATGTGATCTTTAAACATTATAAATATTACTACGAAACCCAAAGAAATGTTAATAAAATTTGTACTCTTGTGTAAAATCTCTATAATGATAATTTTTACTTGCCATATAGAGTTTTTTAATTTTTCTTGTGAATCTGCAAAACCATTCTTCATTTTGCCAATACATTCAAATAACTGTACCTGCCTTTTCCAAAAATTAAGTAGCACGTTTCCCCATCAGTAGGAAATCTAACTTGAATCATTGAAATCAATTGATCCGTGCTCCCGAAATCGTTTACAATAATTTAATTGCCGCACATACGCACGCACACACGAATACATGAATTTTTTCTAAGGTATGTCAAAATGTTCAAATCGTATGTCAAATGATTCAAAAAATCATTAACTTTCCGTAGGGTAACTTATTCTGCGTTTTCTCTAATGAACTTACCCTACGGGAAGCTTTGTATTTGCCCTCAATATACGTTAAGTTTATAATTGTAAAGTGCAATACTTAAAAATATTTTATCAAAATAACTGTATCTGGAACTAATTACTCTCA